GGGGGGGGGGGGGTTGTAATAAAAAGTTTATGAGATCTTTTTTGTTCTGTTATTGCAAAATAATGCATTTTGGAGTTGGTTTGCGTACAGTGGACTTGGGGCCTTCAGATCCGGTGGTGCATACTGGAGTCTCCTCATCAATTTGTTTGTAATTCGATACATTAACATTTAGTCTAATATCGATTGATATCTTTATTAGATGAAATATTATTCTTAGTTCCTCAAGAGCAATGATATTATATGTCCTCTGTTTCAAATTAGCAGTCTTACTTTTCTTTGTAGTACTATCCACCTTCACAACAGAGTTAAAAGTGTTTTTCTCCCATTATATTATTTAAGGTCAATCTCTATTGATAGTGTAGATATTTTTATTCTCATTCATGTATGTTATTTGATGGTTTTATGGATCATTTTTTCAGCAAATAGTGTAGATATTTTTAAGCTGTCATTCAGCAGCAATCTTTGAGCAGTGAGACGTGCTTAGTCATTACGATAACGGCAAAAATATACCCTTTTACTTTCGAAAATGGTCTAAAAATACCCCTTGTTATACTATTGGGTTATCTATACCCCTTCAGTTATACTTTGGGTTTAAATATACCCCTTATTTAAATGGAGGGACACGTGTCATCGTCTTGTTGATCAATTCTAAATATCTCCTAATTAATTAAAAAGACTCATTACCCAAACCTGAAAAATAAATTTTTTTTGTAAAAACTGGAAAAAACTAAAAATAAATTTTTACTAAAAACTGAAAAAATACGAAAATATATTTTTTTTCAGTTTTTACAAAAAAACTACTTTAAAAAAACTAAAAAATATTTTCTAAAACAATATTTTTGTAAAAACTGAAAAAAAAAAAAAAAAAAAAAACTGTAAAGCAATTAAAAACTGAAAAAAACTGAAATATTTTTAACTAAAAACTGAAAAAAGTAAATATTTACTTTTTCAGTTTTTACAAAAACATTGCTTTGGAAAATTGCTTTTTAGTTTTTTTTCAGTTTTTACAAAAACATTGTTTTAGAAAATATTTTTCAGTTTTTTCTAAAGCAGTTTTTTTTAAAAACTGAAAAAAAAAAGAATAATTTCGTTTTTTTCAGTTTTTAGTTAAAATAATTTCAGTTTTTTCAGTTTTTACAAAAACATTGTTTTAGAAAATATTTTTCAGTTTTTTCTAAAGCAGTTTTTTTTAAAAACTGAAAAAAAAAAGAATAATTTCGTTTTTTTCAGTTTTTAGTTAAAATAATTTCAGTTTTTTCAGTTTTTACAAAAAAAAATTGCTTAAAAAATTTATTTTTCGGGTATGGGTAAATGGTCTTTTTAATTAATTAGGAGATATTTGGAACTGACCAACAGGACGATGACACGTGTCCCTCCATTTAAATGAGGGATATATTTGAACCCAAAGTATGACTTCAGGGGTATAGATAACTCAATAGTATAACGATGGGTATTTTTAAACCATTTTCGAAAGTAGAGGGGTATATTTGGCCCTTTGCCGTTACGAGAAATTATGTTCGCTTGATTTTATTTCTCAAATTAATTAATTAAAAAACTAAATTACTTCTTACAAATTTTTTCATATTACTCTTGTTCGTATACTTTAAAATCATAGTAAACACATACACCGAATGTAGAAAAGAAAGGAAAGAAAGAATATACCATGATATCGTTTTCTAACAGTACTACTGCCTCATTTCATCAGATAAATTTGGTTGAACTCTATATGATGAAGTATATAAATTGGTATCATCCCAACATTTATTTCCTAATTTTCTTATGTACTTATTGGCAAGAAGGGTAATATCTTTCTATTTCCCATATAATCAAGAGTTATGACAAAAATGCAAAAAGAAAAGATGTCATAAACTAAAACGCCAAAAATGTGTACGAGACATATGAGCATGCTGTGGTTCGAACTTTGGGAATGAAATTATTTTTGGTAGTATTTTATTTTCAAAGTGAAACTTTTCGGCAAATCTGAATAGGTCGAGTCCCTGAGATGCTCATAAGAGTGAAAATGGCTGAATACGAAAATATTTCAACATTATTCTTTAGAAAGATATCAGTACCTTTAATTATGAAGAAATTTGTGTAGTAAAACAAAATAAGAATATTTGTTTAATTTACTCTTTATCCATCTCTTAAATATCTTAATTAAAAAAATTTCCACCAACATCATATTTAATTAACACTAATTAGATCACTAAAGAGTGAAGTTGGAAAAAAGGTAATTTGTTATGAATAGAATTGTACTTGAAGTGAATGCCGGCTTTTGTCACGACCCAAACTAACCCCTGTCGTGATGGCGCCTATTGTGGAACTAGACAAGCCGACTCATTTCCAAAACAAACCGATTTTTTCATTTCAAAGGTCTCAAGGCTATTTAACATAAAAACCTTCGTAAAAGAGTTCAAATCAAAATAAAAATGTGGAAAAGAAAAGTCCGACATCGGGGTGTCACTAGTCATGAGCATCTACTACCATTTGTCTGACAATATCAAGACTAACATAGTCTGAAAAATAGCTAAATACAACTAAAGGAAGATAATAGGGAGAAGAGCAGGGGCTGCAATCGCCAAGCAGCTACCTTACTATCCCCGAGAAAATCTGCAACTAGAATAATCAACAACCGCTACCATGTCCAACTACACCTGAATCTGCACACAAGGTGCAGGGAGTAACATGAGTACGCCAACTTAGTAAGTAACAACAATAAATAAAGACTGAGCAGTAGTGACGAGCAATAAGCATAAAAAGTTCATATCATGAAATCTCGGTAAAATACAACATGCTTTAAAAATTAGTGTTTGAATCAAATCATCTCGTTTAAGACCCAGTTCCAGCAAAAATTATTTAAAGATATTTTTCAACAGTTTCAAACAGAGGTTAAATGCAAAGGTGAGCAAAAATAATGAAATTATGACAACAGCCCCTCGGACACACCTCACAATCACTCATATACAGCCCCTCGGGCAAACCTCGCGGTCACTCGTGCCACTCGAGCATACCTCACAATCACTCTTGCCACTCGGGCATACCTCACAATCACTCTTGCCTCTCAGTCACTCAGCACTCGGCACTCGCACTCAGTAGGTACATGCGCTCACTGGGGGTGTGTACACACTCCGGAGGGGCTTCTTCAGCCCAAGCGCTATATCAAGCCAATCATGACATAAATCACTCAGGCCCTCGGCCTATATCAAACATGTTGCGGCGTGCAGCCCGATCCCATAAATATCCTCACAAAATCATGCCCTCGGCCTCACTTAGTCATAAACCTCTCAAGCCACTCGGGCATTTCAGTAAAAACAGGGTACTGAGCCCAAAATAAATATTATATGCATCAAAATAGAGTAAGAAAACTGAGTTATGCAGTAAACAGGTATAACCGTGACTGAGTATAAATTTTGAAATCGAAAACAACGATAGGATAGTAAGAAAAGGCCCCTAAGGGTCCAAGCAGCATTGGCACAAGGCCCAAACATGACATCCAACCCAAATTATAGAAACTCATTTCTAAAACTCATAAGTATCATATAGTTTCAACAAAATATGCAACTTTACATTTGCTACGGGACAGACCAAGTCACAATCTAAAATGGTAAATGCCTACATGCCCGTCATCTAGCATGTGTGTCACCTCAAAATAATAAATGATACAAAATCCGGGGTTTCATACTCTCAGGACTAGATTTACAATCGTTACTTATCTCAAACCGGTCAAATCTCTACCCCGCAATGCTCTTGCCTCTAGACTCGGCCTCCAAATAGTCCAAATCTATTCACAATCAGTACAATACCATCAATATATGCTAATGGAATGAATTCCACAAGAAAAACTACCAATTTAGACCAAAAATCTAAAATTGGCTCAAACCCGGCCCTCGAACCCACGTCTCGAAATCTGACAGAATTTACAAAACTAGAAAGCTCATTCACTCACGAGTCTAACCATACCAAATTCATCAAAATCCGACATCGTTTGGTCCTTCAAATCCTTAAATTACTCTCTAATAATTCCAAGCCCTAACCCCTCATTTTCACTAATTACATGATTAAACAATAGGAAATCACCATATATACGAGTATTAGGACTCAAGAAACTTACCTCACTGATAGCCCTTAAATCATCTTTCAAAAATTACTCCAAAACCTGACTTGAAAATGGTGAAAATGAACCAAATTCGCGAAGGGTTCTATTTATGAGTTCTGCCCACGCTTTTTCGCCCTGCGGACCATTTCTCGCTTTTGCGCAACCGCACCTGCGAAAAAATCCGTCGCAAGTACGGAACTCACTTATGAGCCCAAGTTCCGCATCTGCGGCCAACTTGTCGCACATGCGCTCGCGCACCTGCGCGTGACACGCCGCATCTACGAAGCAAGCCTTCTTCCTTTCTTCCGCATCTGCGCCCCAGGTCTCGCACCTGCGGGCTCGCAGATGCGATAGCCTTCTAGCACATGCGCATCCTGCCTAGTCCAGCACTTCCCGCACTTACGAACCCCCATGCGTAACTCTCGAAATAGGGGAAACAGGGATATAATTCTCGAAACGACCGGCCGGGTCGTTGCAGCTTTACCCCGCTATAAATCATCTCAAAGTAATAAGAATTCTCTCTTTTCTCTGC